CTGGTTCTACTTTACTTTTGTCTAGTAATATTCTCCTTGTTGGTAATATTCTCCTTGTTGTAAAGTAGAACCAGAAATATTTAGACCAAAGAATATTTCTGGTTCTATATTAGAATAAGGATAACATTTCTATTAAGGTAGTATTTCTGGTCGAAGGAGTTTACTATTGGTTGTATTAGACCAGGTTAAACCTACTAATAAGGTTGTGGATGTATTAGATAATATCCACCTTTTATCACTTGTTCCTTTACATATTTTATAACAAGAACACAAAACACACGATGAATTTTCTTTTTACAGACAAAATGTTATTTTATCAACTTAAAACTAAAGTAATTAATAAATAATTTCAATTATTCGGAAATGACGACTAATACACATCAGGCATGAGGATCACGTATTTCCGGTTTAATTAAAAAAACGTAATATCTTTGTACAATAGTAAACTAACTTTTATTATATCTCACTATGATACTTACTTTCGGGTGTAGTATAAGAATCTAGCCAAGTTTCTCTCGTAGTCGTCATCTGAAAAACAAGAGAGAAACATTTCCGGAACTCAGTTGCTAGGCGTGGTTTGTATAAGGCTAAGGATGCGATTTTTTTACTTGGTTAATTAAAAGCGTAGTTTGTTTTTAAAGTGAAATCTCACACCAAATTAGTAATAAATCTCGATTGTTCTATCGTATTTCTGTTGTTATCGGTTGCTTCAAATTATAAACTTAAAAATATAGAGCGAATAATGAACAGAGGGTTGGTTGAAAGTTTCAAGATAACCCCAGACGATATAAAGTCACGGTGGAACAATATGTATCGTAACTACTACGTGTTGACATTGTTTGGCGTTACGTAGATGTGTGATGCCACCGAAAATTGATCGGTTTTGGGAAGGGTATGTAACCGTTCGGACACAAACTATGCATAAACTCAGATCACGAAGATGTATTCAGATTAAGCATTTAGAATTTCCACGAGTGGAAAATCATATTTACCAAATAACATTGGAAACAAAGGAATATGAATCGATTTGGTGCACCAGGACCAACCAGAAAAAGGCCTGCAACAAGTCGTACTCCAAGCTGGTAAGCAAAGCGTGACGTCTTGTAACAGGTGATAATTCAGTGGCAAAAGCAACATAATCAAGAAGGATTTCGAACTGTAAAAGTGACAAAAGTCACGTGCAAACAAGCTACTTTCACGACATATATAGAAAGAGAAGACCAGCTATTGATAACGATATGAACGGTACCTGGCGGGAGAAAATAGCAGTGCGTGTTGCTACACGACGAGGCGTCTTTGTATCTTGATAGCTGTAACAAGTGCAGTACCATTTTTTTACCGGCCAACATGTGAAATTGTTTATCAGAAGTGGTACACCTCTTGTCGCCAAACCTTCATGATTATCGTTGGATAGGGATCTGGAGAGTAAATGCAAGCTTACTTGCAGACCAACGTTCTGGGCCCGTTGTACAATACGGGGTTTGTACGTAAATAGATCCATTGGGTTATAGGTTCACCAAGATAAAGCTAACAGTCGCAAATCACATTCAACCACTGGATAACTCAAACAGTTGGAGAATGAAATGGATGTTCATGCTATTCCATAAGAAAACATACCAGTCAAGTCGCTGGATGTAGCGCCTAAGTACTTCTGTGCGATCGAATTGTTTAAAAGAGCGCTGGAAACCGTCGTTCTCCTACACTAGATGGATTATGGAAAGCTTGGAAGGAGAAGTGGTGTGCTTTGGATATGATAATTTTAAGGCGGAGCCTTTTAGAATGGAAACTACAATGCAAGGCTATTGTCAAGATTCACGGTCGTCAGATGAAGCATGACAGGACTTGGCGACACGGGCTTTAACGACTAGGTGAGGCTCCAAACTGTTTAAATAGAACGTAATAAACCAACTGTATTTCAATCGGATTGAAATGAACCAAATTGTTGCAGATTGTTTGAGGTCTGTCTGGTTAACTGACCCTTTTTTGTAAGCACTTTGAGGTCTGTCTGGTTAACTGATCCTTTTTTGTAAGCACTTTGAGGTCTGTCTGGTTAACTGACCCTTTTTTGTAAGCACTTTGAGG